GCTTCCTGGCAGATTCTCATCAGACTTCCCTTTGCATCATGTCCCAAAAGAACAACCCACATTCACCAACCTCATAAAAGATGGCAGACAAAGTTACATTCTGCTCATGAGCTTTTCAAGCCCCCTACAAATCAGTTTGGTTGAGTCTTTATTTTCACATGTGAAACAATTTTTAACTTTTTTTTTTTTTTTGCAGCAATAAGGACAGTTTCAGTCTCAGCCAGTGGGGTGTAAAGTAGTAACACTTACTGTTTAAAAAATCATGTTTACTTGTCTGTGTCAGTTAAACAAGTTACTTGATGGAAGTTGATTTATTAGTTGAGGTTTTGTGGGTCTTTAGATCTTTGCCAAACAAAGCTCAATTTCATCATTTAGATTCCACACTCCTAACTCACTGCAAGAATAGTCACAGTAGGTACATTTGTCAGCAGTTCAGGATTTATTGGTTATTACTGAAAGACAATAAAAGATATTCCAGTTGTATGAGTCACCCTGACTAGGGATGAGAAAGAACAATCTCGTTTCTGAGAACTAAAATAAAATAAAAATAAAGACCACTAGATGGCGTTAGTAAACCCACTTTATGGAGTGTTTACACACGCGCACAATAAAAAGAGAGAAGAAACKTCTGGATTTTACACTGCAATGTAATTTTATTTTACTTTTTAATGGCTTTATGGTACTTTACAGAAAAAAATACTAATGTCAATGTGTGTGTGGGGTGCACATGTGTTTGTGTGCAGCAGAAACACAGGCACAGATAGATAAGAGTTAGGTCCATATATATATAACCGCAGTTCGAATATCCAAAATCCAACTTGAAACTAACTTCACTGCGGTATATATTTGAACAGTGACACAAATTTTGTCTTTTTACTTTACTGAAACATAAAGTTAAATAATGTACATGGACATAAAGTCCAGACTTTCAGCTTTCATTTGAGGGGAACCATATTAAAACTGGATGTAGGGTTTTAAGAGTGTCAGCTCCTTAATATGTCACCCTGTTTTAGACCAAAAGTAATGGACAATTGACTCAAAGGCTATTGGTGTGGGCAATCTCTTCCGTTGTGTCACTCAAACAGATAAAAGGCCTGGGGTTGATTTGAGGTGTGGTGCTTGCATTTGGAAGGTTTTGCTGTGAAGTAAACATGCAGTCAAAAGAGCGCTCCATGCAGGTGAAACAAACCATCCAAGCAAAAAAAAAAAAAGGGGCAAAAAAAATCTGATAAATAGCTACAATATTATGAGTGGCAAAATCTACAGTTTGGTACATCCTGAGAAAGAAAGCACTGGTGAACTCAATGCAAAAAGACCTGGGCACCCACAGAAGACAAAAGTGGTGGATGATGGCAGAATAATCTCCACGGTGAAGAGAAACCCCTTCACAACAGCCAACCAAGTGAACAACACTCTCCAGGTGGTAGAGGTATCAATATCCAAATCTACCATAAAGACAATACTGCATGAAAGTAAATACAGAGGGTTCACTGCATGCTGCAAGCCACTCAAGAGTCAAGAATAAAAAGGCTTGTCTGGACTTTGCTAAAAAATAAATCTAAAGCAGCAGAGTTCTGGAAGAACATTCTCTGGACAGAAGAAACCAAGATCAACCTCTACCAGAATGATGGAAAGAGAAAAGTCTGGTGAAGGTGTGGTTCAGCTCATGATCCAAAGCATACCTGTTAAGAATCTGAGTTTGAGCTCTGATAAAAACCCGAAGACAGACAAAGGTTTACAAATTTTATTAAAATTGCTGGTGTGGAGCTGGAACAACCCAGGTGCGTGGGTYCGGTTTTCTGGACATAGAAAAAACAGGTTAGTGGCTTTAAGACTCTGGGACAAAATACTAGTAGAATTTTTAGCCAGTAAACTGGTGTCAACTGGGAGCCTCCATGTGGAAACACCGACTGTGTCAGTTTGGTTCCAGAGAAACACGATGACGTCACCGACAATCCTTGGGAGCGTTGCGGGTCCGAGAAACGGGTCCAGGGACAGACGAGGGTCATACACAGAGGGATCAGAGAATACGACAGGTTAAGAGGAGCAAACTTAACTCTTGAATCCGGGAGGCAGGCAGGGGTCGAGCACCAGGAAGTCTGAGGTGTCGTGGTGCCGAGCAAGGGAGAGACGATGGGCAGGAGTCTGAGAAACAGAAACAGGGTCATTACCAGAAGGGCAGATGGCAGAAGGTACCCGACACGTTCTGAGGCAAGAGGCGGTAATCCAAGGGACGAGAAAGGGGTCCGAGGAGCCGAGATCAGAGCAGGACATGGGACAAGAATGCTGGTGAATCATAGACTGGCGGATAATAAACTGGCAGAGTGCTGAGGGAAACTGCTGGCTTAAATACAGAGGGACACAGTGAGTTGCATGAGCTGATTACCTGAGGATCTGTGACGGGAGGGGGAGCAGGGCTGTGACAAGGCTGAGGAAAAGAGCTGCTAAAAACACATGACATGAGATGAAAACAAAAACAAAACAAAAACTTGACCAAAAACTATAACAATACCACATCATCTGTAAAACACAGCGGAGCAGTGYGATGGCTTGGGCATGCATGGCTGCCAGTGGCACTGGGTCACTAGTGGTTATTGATGATGGGACACAGGACAGATGCAGCCCAATGAATTCTGAGGTATTCAGAACCAGACTGTGTGCTCAGATCCAGCCAAATGCTGCCAAACTGATTGGTCATCGTTTCATACTACAGATGGACAATGACCCAAAACATAAAGCCAAAGAGTTTATTAAAGCAAAGAAGTGGAATAGTCTTGAATGGCCAAGTCAGTCACTTGATCTCAACCCAACTGAGCATTTCACTTGTTAAAGACTAAACTTCAGACAGAAAGGCCCACAAACAAACAGCAACTGAAAACCGCTGCAGTGAAGGCCTGGCAGAGAATTAAAAAGGAGGAAACACAGCATCTGATGACRTCCATGAGTTCTAGACTTCAGGCAGTCATTGTTAACAAACAGTTTTTAACCAAGTACTAGAAATGAACATTTCATTTACAATTATTTAATCTGTCCAATTACTTTTGAGCCTCTGAAATGAAGGGGTTGTGTTTAAAAGATGCTTTAGTTCCTCACATTTTCTTCAACCCACTGAGTTAAAGCTGAAAGTCTGAACTTCAACTGCATCTGAATTATTTTGTTTAAAAGTCATTGTGGTAATGTACAGAACCAAAATTAGAAAAATGTTGTCTCTGTCCAAATATATATGGACCTAAATCTATCTATCTATCTATCTATCTATCTATCTATCTATCTATC